CCATTCCATACTCATAACCCTTAAGGTCAACTATGGTTAAGTCAAAGTCAAAGTCAAGTCAGAGTCAACGTATCGAGTTGACTCAACTCGTCGAGTTTACTCTTCAATTCGTCGAGTTCTCATGAATCACAGAATTATGAAATCGCGATCTAACTCGTCGATTTTCCTCCAACTCATTGATTTCCTCCTTCTCAATAGAAACGGGACTTCCTAGTACAACTCGTCGAGTTCCCTTGTGGACTCGTCGAGTTCCATGAACAGAATCGGGAATATTCGACCAAACTCATCGAGTTCCTCTATGAACTCGCCGAGTCCCTTGCATTTTTACTTTATTCAGCCCTTTCCTCATATCTAAGGTTCCAGAATACAGATCCATATTGTTTCCATAACCTATTTCTGTAAAGTTGACAACTTGATGGCTTTGCATGCCTCAAATGGACCCAAACTCGAGATATAACAACCTACATCCATGGACATGGTCTTTTCTTGGACAAGAACGGGTTTAAGACCCTTTTTATGATTCTACAGGCCAAATATCACTAGAAGATGGGAATCCTTAGCATATGATCTATGAAGGGTATCATGTTTCCCACAATGAGGTCAAAAATACCCATAAACCAAAACTAAAAGAGATCTAAGTTATGAATCACCAAGTTAAGGACTTTATACCTCAGAAAGCTGCCAAAGATGGAAGAGATCCCAGATCTAATGCTTCTCCTCGAGCTTGATGGCTTCTAGTTGTTCCAACTCCTTTACCAAGCACAAAAACACACACAATCCACTCAAAACTTCAAGTTTCTCACCAAAGAGCTCACAATACGATTTAGGGTTTCAGGGAGGCTGATGGGAGGCTGAGGGAAAGGATTAAGTCCTTTAAATAGGGTACAAAACCATGGAAATTGGGGTTTCGTCCCAGCTGATCTACTCGTCGAGTTGAGGCCTCTCAACACGTCGAGTAGGTCACTTAAATCATTCAGTTCTGGCAATCTCTACTCGACGATTTTGGGGCTTCCAACTCGTCGAGTTACTCTGTAAAAATGAATAATTTATAATTTAAATGCGTACCGGGAATTAGGCGTTACAGAGTTACTTTACTCACCAAGAGCATACTCACTAAGAGTTACTTTACTCTCCAAGAACACATTTGTTCACCAATTGCACATTTACACTCCAAGAGAATCTTCGCTCACCAAGAGTACATTTTCTCACGTAGATCAGATTTACTCTTCAAGAGCACCTTTACTCACTATGAGCACCTTTATTATTTAAGAGCGCCTTCGTTCACCAAAAGCACATTTTCTCAGCAAGAGAACCTTTACTCTCTAAGATTATAATTGCTCACCAAGATTTCCCTTAAGTTCCTCAAGCCTTCATAGCCTAACAGTGAATGTAGTCTAAAGATTGAAGTCTGTTACCCTGGAGTTGAAGGAATGCATGTTTGAAGGAATTAACTTGATTGTTGATGTAAAAAAAATTTAGAGCCATGTCTTGAAGTCTATTGGAAGTTTTTGAGAAAAATCCATTGTATAGGTCCCTTAGGGAGAATGTTGATAATAACTTTTGAAGTAACCCCCATAACTCATCGTGAAGTTAGTAAAGGATTGAGAGAATTACATGTGTGATAACTAGTGATGAACCTCATTGATAATACCTTTGTAAATATGGTGTGAGACTATAGTGTTGATTTTAGAGTATTAGCTACAAAACTCAAGAATGTCTTAGTCTTGTATCACACGTCTTGTAAGCACTAATAGAGGTTGTGGTGTTATAAACTTTAATTGTACTAGACGTAAACATGTGTATCACTTTAAAAAAAAATGCAAGCCTTAATACGAAAAAACATACATTCTTTATTTGCTTTATGTACGTTATATTATCAAGGATATAATTTATTGATTATACCTTCTGTGTTTATATTATTGCTAATTTGATCTATAACGATCTTAACAAATCATAGTGTTTTACTCTCACTCAACATATTATCTAATCCTTTGATATATTATCTATTCATATACATGTTATGGTTGAAGTCATTTCCTATAAATCGTCTATTCATATACACTTTATGGTCGAAGTCGTTTCCTATAAATCGTTGACTAAGTTACCCCATTTCATTATTTTTTTGGAATTGGCGGATATTATTAAAACCACGGCCTAAAGGAAAAAGACTGGGCACAAAAGAATACACAAAACAAACTTACAAAATGTCAAAAGGGAAACAAACCCAACATTCCCATCTATAGTTTCCAAAATTACCCTTATATTTCAACCAACTAAACACCATAGAAATCACATTATCCGCCAACTTTGAAGGGATCACTTAAGCTCCATTAAACCAAATGTCGTTCCTTGCTTTCCACATGCACCATAGAAAACCATAATAGATAGCAATAAACATTTTCCTCTTTTTTGGACAGTTCCTCCATGAGGCAGCAAAATTAACAAAATATGAAGTCGAAAGGAACCTTTGGATAGGAATGCCACACCAATTGAAAATCCAGCACAAGGAATCAAAAGCCACCGGATAATCCAAGAGAATATGATCTGCAATGTACACTCCACTAAAGCACATTTGACAGGAGACAGAAGTAATAGTGATACCTCTCTTGGAAAGAGCCATTGTCTTAGGAATACGCCCCATATAAGCCCTCCAAACAAAACTAATGTAATTGATAAGAACTAAGAGAAGCCAAACCATGGGATTATTTACCGAAACGGTCAATTTACTGTCAGTGAGAGCCCTAATATCGCTCACACGGAAAGAGCCATCGACAGTTAACCTTGATCTCCAAGTGTCATGCCCATTTGAACCCCATTCCATTATTTCACTGCACTTATAATACTTTAACTACCTCTATTAAATTTTGATTCAAGCTTTTCATCTTGAAACTTCAACAAGACTATTTATTGTAAACTTTGGATTGTAAAATCTAATAACATTTGATGAGTTACCTAGAAGGATAAATGTTTTCGTTATTAATTGTAAAGCCTAGATCGTGAAAGGGAAAATGACCTATAAGTCCAACGAAGTTTCCAAACCATTCAAAAAACCTCAATTATGTGTTGTCTGTTCAACAAAACCTAACAAACTTAACATTTTGTATAAAAAAAAAAAGCCAACTAACTTACACTTTTGTTCAATTCTCATTAGGGTCAACAGGCTAATGAAAGTCAATGAATGAAATGGCTTATGATGTGCAATTAGATATCGGGAATTGATTCGTAAGACCAACGAAGTTTCGAAACCGTTCAAAATACCAAAATTCCACGATTTCGAACAGATAAAACATGATTGGGGTTTTTTTGAACGGTTTCGAAACTTCGTTGGTCTTACAAGTCATTTTCCACATATTTAGTTTCACGCCGTAAGTCATGTCATTCGTTGACTTTCATTAGTCGGTTGACTGTAATGAGAATTGAACAAAAGTGTAAGTTAGTTTGGTTTTTTTAGAAAAAATGTTAAGTTCATTGGGTTTTGTTGGATACACAAAACATAATTGAGGGTTTTTGAACAGTTTAGAAATTTCGTTGGACTTATAAGTCATTTTCCCTTCAACTTAACCACCGAAAAGAAAGGAAATGAATAATTTGAAAATAAAGTAAAAGAAAATAAAAAAATTGTGTTTCCAAGAGAGGAAATGAAATGATCATTTTTTTCCTAATATTTTCTTTGTGATTTGAAAGGATTTGAAGAAAAAAATATATATATTTAATTTTCTTTTCTTTTCTTTCTAACTCGGGACCACAAAAGACAAAATTATTTTCTCTCAGTATATTTTTTTTCTTTTCTTTACTAAAACTCGGAAACTAGACGTAAATGTTTTATAGCGAGGTTTTAAAAAAATTATGTTTTGTTGTTTTTGTTAAAAGAATATTATTTGACATCGGTATCTAATTATATACTATAACAATAAACATGCGATTTATGAACAGTAGCAGGTTTTCAAATGGTGGTTTCTAGTATCGGCTTGCATTTTTGTTTTTTGGTAGGGTTGGAGTCGATGACGATTGTTTCTATCGCATGGTTGACACCTGTTTCAATATGTTCCACCGCCACTTCTAAACAAAGAAAACATGTGTATTTGTTTGGTGTAAAGCCTCACCTTCATCGATCACACATTTCATCCACCATCTACGACGTCACCGTTAAATGCCTTGTCCATCGTCGTCTTCACCGAGAAGCGAGCCTACCATCGACCTGATATCGGCGATGCATACAGTAGAAGCCGACGTCCACACATCATACGTTGTTGAAAATCTTTATCGTGTAAAATAAGTAATTCCCTAAATTCTCTCATGCTTCAATCCTTTCATATATGTCCTTCTTGAACGCTAAAACACCGTTTTCATCGGTTTTAGGGTTGCAATGCAATGGTGCTCAACATATTCACAATATGAGTTTCTTGATTGGATAAAAATTGGAAATTTTCTTATACTTAATTGATTTGGATATAAATTGAATTCCATTGGGTTTAATTTTGTTTTACCTGTTCAAAAAGTCAGAGACTACACCGTCGTCATGGGTCTTGACAAATTCGAGAACGAAGAACTCATCAAATATGGGTCCCGGAAGATATATGACATAGCTGGAATAATATGGAAGGATACCTATAAGGATAGATGTTTTCAGTATTACCCATACCGACCGTCCAAACAATTTACAAATCACATATATTTTTATTGAAATGCAGAAACAAAATCTATCGAATTTCATGATGAAAAATCATGTATCATTTAACATGATAGTAATAGGTTTTTATTTGGAATATAACATGTATTATTGGCAGACATGTACGTCATGAAAGATGGGGTGTGGTGATTGTCAAGTAGAAATGTTGCATATAGATGATATTTTACGATAATTTCATTATATTCTGGTTACTCCACGAATGGGGTGCTACATTAATTATTATGTAGTCTTATACAGTATCCAAAGCTTACAACATTTGAAATAAAATTTAGATTTTTTCGACCATAGTTAATATAATAGGTGCCTGAAATTATTTAAAGGGCACAGGAGTGGCAAGGAGAGGTGTTGCCCTAAGCAACGTGAGGCCAAAAATATCGTTCAGGTCAATTTCTTCTCTAGGATGAGGAAGCTTCCATTCAAAATGATACACAAACGATGCCACCATTAAACCCACAACCCTATGAGCTAAGGGAGCTCCAGGACACATCCTTCGGCCCGATCCAAATGGTATAAACTCAAAATGTTTTCCCTTGTAGTCGATCTCATTTCCCAAGAACCTTTCAGGCTTGAATGTCAATTGGTTGTCCCAATATCTTGGGTCTCGTGCCATGGACCATGCATTGATAATAATTTTTGTATCTTTTGGCACAACATATTTACCGAGTTTAACTTCAGTTTCAGTTTTGTGAGGCACTAATAAAGGTACAGATAAATGGAGTCGCATCGTCTCTTTGATAACAGCATGCAAATAAGGCAAGTTGATGATTTTAGCTTCCTGAATTTTCCCATATTTTCCTATTGTTGTGAAGACTTCTTCACGTACTTTTGAAAATATATCAGGATCAAGCAATAGTTCAGTCATTGCCCATTCTGTTGTGTTTGAGCTTGTTTCTGTCGCTGCTAAAAAAAGACCCTGTGATATTTAACGAAATATTTGTATTAAAGTTTTACATTAGCATCATTTAGTATACCATACACAATGAAATAATTATCAATCCTGTTGTGCTAAAATCTGTCATCTTAAATAACTAAAATATTTGGTTTGCTATTATTAATCAATTACTGTTATAACTCAAAATCAAACTATCATTTAATTTATTTCCTTCCTAGTCAACGATCTACATAAAACCAATATGCCATTTTTTTATCCTCTTCTAAAGAAGGTTTGACAAGTGATATTAAATCTTGGAGTACTGGGTTTTAGGGAAACCTGCCTCCCTATTTGTAATGATTTGTAGGGCACTTCAACCCTACTCTATATCCCATTTTTCGCACCAAACCATCTCCATCCTATCCCATTTCTTGCACCACTTTAATTAATGTAAATAAATACTCCTTTCGTCTCAAAATTATAGTCCATCTTTTCATTTTGGTTTGTCCCAAAATAATAGTTCACTTCTAAAAATAAATAAACTTTTTACCAAAATACTCATTTAATATTACTTAACCAACTAAGCAATTAATGGAACATTAAATGCAAAGTAAGGACAAAACTGTCATTTTATTGTATAAAGTAATAGGTAATTAATGTTTTCTTAATCTGTGTGTTTTTCGTCTGTAGACAATAATTTTGGGACGGAGGGAGTAGTTACTATAAAACCAAATTTGGTAGTCATTCACACCACAATGGTGTAAAGGTTTCAAGTGTCAACTTTAGTCCCCAAGTATTGTATTTTTTATTTAGAGTTTATAAAATACGGGTAAGTATTTTATAAATGTATTAATTATTATTTGTAATAACATGTTATTGTAGTAAATTGATATTAATTGATTATATGCAATTATATTTGGATATAATTTGTTATTTTTCAAATTTGTTAATTACAACAAAAAAGATACATATTATACAAATTTGTGAAAAGTTAATTAGTTGAAATGTATTTTTGACAATCATATAAGTTTTAAATAAAGAATATGCTAGGGAATATATTTTTTGATGTAAAATATGATGTAAAAATAAAATAAGGTTGGAAAGGTAACATTGTTTGCAGCATTTTTTACATCATTTTGTTGTAAATAGAATGGAGTTGGATTAGAGATAGATCTTTAGAATATTTTTTTTTTAAATCAATTTTGATTTTAGTTCAATACATATCGATTGAAGGCAAACGGGCAACAAGCTGCGCTACTAGCCCTTTCTGGATGGCAAAACCAATTCTTTTGAAAACAACATTTGTGGATCTAGGAGATATGACATTAGAATGCATGACCCGTTAGACTCTATTGAGGAGTTCCACCGCCTCTGGTGCAAGAAACCTAAATGTATCGAATACAAAAGGTACAAACACATGTTGATTTTCTATACATGCATTCTCGTGCTTTACCACTTTGCACGCAACGGCTTTCAAAGCGGCATGCCCTGCTATGAAACCCCCGCTCCCCAAACCAACGAGAGAAGAAACCCCAGTAAGATCCACGCACGCATGCTTCCCTCCTATCCATCCAAAGACCAAAATGTCAGCCGGTCTAAGTGTGGACCTTCCATCCTGCGGGTCCGTCAAAAAGTTCACTGGCGCTTCTTTCTTCACAGAAATACCAGCACGCCGACAAACATCAAAGAGAACATCCCGAACCACATCATGTCTGTACTTAAAACCAGGGAGCTCTCTACAATGAACCGCGTGTTCCCCAAAGGTATCCAAACATGCCTTGCGGCAAACTGGGCATATCTCGTCAATTGGGAATATGGGAATCATGAGGCGGTAACGAAGGATAGTTCGGTACTCCACAAGAGACATATGCTGGCCAAGACCATCAATAGGGATAGTTAACAGAAAATCCTGAGCATGAGGTGCGCGCAAACACTCAAAGATTGCTTTCTGTCTGACAGTCATGTCGAAGTCGACTTCCATATCTTAGACGATTTTGCTAAAAAGGGCACACGCCAAAGCTTTTTGGGATTTAGGGGGGGGGGGGCGATGTCACACCAAAATTCTTTCTTTTATCCCTCTCATTTCTCAATTATCTTTTCTTCTCTCTCATTTCTCTTATGTTCTATGGTTGGAATAAGTTTCAAATCAGAGACGTTGTCAGCTAAGTGGGCTACTCCTAGCTTGATATGTAAAAGGTCATGAATTTTGTCTCTTATACTATTTTTTTTTCTTTTTTTAAAAGATAATGTGTGAAAAAGTTGGTGTTAAATAGGTGCAAAATGAATACTTTGAGCCCAACTAGGATTTTTAGAGTAAATTACATGAATGGTCCTTATGGTTTGTGATAATTTGTGTGTTTGATCATTAATTTATTTTTTTAATTCGGAATGCTTTTACTATTTGTTTTTGTTGCGCGCTTAGTATATAGTGTTTGTTTTTGTTACGTGTTTAGTCTCTATCTTACCTAAAAAGACTATTATTTAAATAGAAAAAAATGGTGGAATAGGTAAGGTAAGATGAGAGGGTGGGGTTGGGGTGTGTTTATTTAAATAAATTAAAAAATCAAGGGTAAAATAGTCTTTTTAGGTAAAACAGAGACCAAACGCGTAACAAAAACAAACGATAGGGACCTTCCGAGTTAAAAAAAAAGTTAGAGACCAAACATATAAATTACCTTAAGTCATAGGGATCATTCGTGTAATTTACTGGTATTTTTATCAACTTTTTGTATTATTATTATTATTATTATTATTATTATTTTTATTTTTATTATTAATAAACCAAACCCCTTTCCGTGTCTTGGTTTGATCCATTGTGTTAATGAATATTATTGGTTAAATTCACATGCTAATGGAAATTTCTTTTACTTAGGTGCTTTCACATTGCATCCGGCCTAAAAGTCTAACTTTAATAAATCACGAGTATTCGGAATTGGTGTTTATATACAGGAGGTCACGAGATGGGCTACCCCTCTTACATTGTCATTCACCTATTTAGGTGTCTCGATAGGTTCAAACATGAATCTAAAAACAGATTAGAAGCCCATAATTTATAGATTTTATACAAAAATTGACGACTTGGAAGGCCAAAACTCTATCCTTTAGAGGTCGGTTAACCCTTGTAAAAGTTGTTCTTAGTAGTCTTCTCTCCTTCTTCTCCATTTTTGTTGCACCGGTGGGTGTTCTCGACGAACTAAAAAAAATCAGAAGACAATTTCTATGGGTGAAATGGAAAATACACATAAGATATGTTGGGTAGCTTGGGAGAAGATAATGGCACCAAAAGAGAATGGCGGGTTAGACAATGCGACGCTTTGGAGCAATGTAATCAGGGGCATCCATAATCTATACAATAAACCATCTGATCGCATCTCGAAAAAAACTCTCACGGGGGTATGGAATAACGTGACAAGGGCAAGAGAAGATTTAAAGAATATGGGTATTATCAGAAATAATATCGAAACATGTAAGATCAGGAGACTAATGGAACTATTTTACACATCTAGATTATTCCGTTTAGATAATCACGTATTGTTTAGTTTATTCCTATGTTTATCTTTAGCCTATTTTCTAGCTAGTTTATCTGATCCTGTTTATAAGGATCTCTTTAATACTTGTACGTGAGAGTATCCATAATCAATGAACGAAATAGAATGTTTTCTCAGTTTCTTTATGGTATCAAAGTATTGATCCGTTGAAGAAAACCTAGATTGGAAGCCGCCATGGCAGAAGAGAAAGACAATGATCCGGGGGAAAGCAAGAAGACTGAAGAACCCAACGATGCTAACTCCATCCATGTCAATTCCCCATACCACATTCATCCGTCAGATTACCCTAAACAGATGCAGGTTAATGACGTGTTGAATGATAACAACTTCAACGAATGGAGGCAGGAGATGATCAATTTTCTGTTTGCCAAGAATAAAAAGGGGTTTGTCGATGGGTCAATCAACAAACCAGATTTTGCATCCCCCATGCATATGGCATGGATGCATGCAGATGTCATGGTTAAGGGCTAGCTGACAACAACCATGGAGAGGGACATCCGGACCAGTGTGAGGTACGCTAATACATCAGCCGAGATTTGGAAAGACTTGGAAGAGAGGTTTGAGAAGGAAGGTGCTCTACGGGCTTACGAGCTAAAACAGTTGTTGAACACGACAAGGCAGGATGGGACTTCAGTTTCATCCTACTACACGAAATTAAAAACCCTATGGGGATGAACTGCAACTCGTTCTCCCAACACCAAGATGTACCTGTGATGGGTGTAATTGCTCTCTAGGAAGAAGATTGAATGAAGTGAAGGAGAAAGAAAGAATTTATGAGTTTCTTATGGGGCTCGATGAGGAGTTCTCCATCATCCGAACCCAAATCCTTGCCATGAAGCCACCACCTTCCTTGGGGGCCACGTATCACCTGGTTGCTGAAGATGAACAGCAACGCGCAATCACAGGTGGATCCAGAAAATCAGTTGGCGAAACAACAGCCTTCCAGGTGAACGTGATGAACAGGAAGGCAACACGCACTACACAAGGGGTTCAAGGCACACAGACGGCTAACAAAGGCGCACAACAAATCATGAAACAGAGTAGCGACAAGGCAGAAAAATGCACTTTTTGTGGAAAAGAATGACACAAAAGCGATGGGTGCTTCAAGAAGATAGGTTACCCTGATTGGTGGCCAGGAAAGAAAGACAAACCAAAGGCAAAAGCAGCTTGTGTAGAAGTTGGACCCAGCCCCATACCAGGGTTAACGGATGAACAATATCGTCTTTTTGTTGCACACTTCCGAGAAGATGAGGCTCCTAAAGCTAATCTGGCAGGTAGAACTAACACGTATGATGGATGGGTGGTTGACTCGGGTGCAACCGAACACATCACCCATCGAAGTGACTTTCTTGATAACAGAGTCACAAACACCAAAGAAACACATGTCATCATCCCTAATGGCGATAAGGTGCCTGTCATGGGTGAGGGTGAACACACCCTACC